AAAATTAAACCTTATTTTCAATAAGCAATCCTGAAAAATATTTGGGGGTGCTTAACTTTTTTCCAGGTGTATATATCGTTTTGGACAAACACCATATGCAGTTACATTACATTCACATATTTTGCATTGATCTTTCTTCAAGTTCTTTTTTATTTCTAAAGTTACATGTAAACTTCAACATAAGTGAAAAAACAACAAATATATTCTACATTTTAGCCTTCGTTCATGAGAGTAAATTAAGTTACAAGAATTATCGAAAATATTGAAATGCAGGCTTAAGATATCACCCTTCTGCAATGTTTTGCAGTTTTGTTTCTCTCAAATGGGCTATAAATTAGTCAAATAATTTCTGTATAACTTTTTGTTATAGAATGTAAAAAATTTATATATATATTTATACTTTCTTACTTTACCGAATAATATTTGAATTACATGCTTATGTAATATGATGATTGCTGTAATCGCACTCAAACGAGAATAGTTGGGGTGTAACCCTCAACATAATCATGGCTGTAAACATATTTACTTTACAAATTCTGTTCTTAGGTTTTCCATAATCTTGCCTTCTATACTTCACATAACGATCTTACTAACCTAATGTATGATTTTGTGTATGTGTGCATCGTTATCATGCACATTTTTATCTCTGATTTGTAAAAAAAACTGCTAATTATAAATTATACGCAAAGGGTTTTTTTTTATTCTGTTTCCCAAATTTTACTAGCTGTCATTGCTGCTATTCTTCAGATGATGACGATTTAATTCTATAGCTCAGGTTATTTGTCGCCATCTAACGACCCACGCACAATCAGAGGTGAAACAATGTGTAGTTACAATGTTTTAATTAATAATTAGTTTTGCAAGTAGTTACATTTATAACTTAACGCATTACCGTATATCGTTCTAGGAAGGCGATGAGATGTGGATTAATTAAACGTTTCTGTATATGACTTGTAGATTAATTAAACGTTTCTGTATATGACTTGTAGATTAATTAAACTTTCATACGTGATATGTGGATTAATTAAAGTTTGATATATGACTTGTAGATTAATTAAACGTTTCTGTATATGACTTGTAGATTAATTAAACTTTCATACGTGATATGTGGATTAATTGAACTTTGATATCAATTTTCCTCATCTTAACCTTTAAAGTAATTGTTCGAAAACAAAGAAATTACTTACAACTAAAACAGAATTTTATTACCACAAGTTTTTTTTACTAACTTTTAAGAATTAAGTGTCCACTCTGATAAATATAAATTGGCATGTAATACAGAAAACTGTTTAAAATATCCTGTTAATTTTTCTATAAGATACTTATAAAGATTTATCATAGTTTAGAAATATTTCTGACAAAAGTAAATTTTTTTATTTTTTTTAAAACCTACACGGATAAAAAAAATAACTTTGTTTTAACATCGACCGTATCTGTATATTGGGCAAGTTCATGTTGGTCAGAAAAAATGACCCATTGTGAATATTGGTTTATTTTCGGTTACCTTTTTTGAGCAATATTATTGACCAAAAAGACGATTTGGCCTATTTCTAATTTCACTGTATCAGTGGCTGCTCCAAATCGATGGATCGAAATTGTTGACGACTGTCGAAAAAATTGCTATTCTAGTTGAAAATGGAATCTTTATCTTTCAAATGTAAAAGGCCTAGATCAGTCCTTTCCAAAGTGGGTGTCGCCATGTTTTCGGAAATTGCACAAAATATTTTGTTAAGTTTTATTTCTATTAAAAGATGTTATAAAATTCAGTAATTTAAAGTATTTTTTTAATGTACTCGCCGATGTGGCACGCAAAAATTATCTAATGTTTTATATTTCCTTTTGGACACGCCACACGAAAAAGGCCCGCCAACACAGCCTTGTGTAGTAAAGTGGGGGGGGGGATTATTTTTGGTACGTACATCAAAAAAGTTTGGAAAACACTTGCCTAGATATTCAAAATCTTTGCTCTCGTTGTGGTTGTGAATGTTTCTACTAAATTGGGTCAGAGACTTGGAGGAAAGCAGCCAATAGTATACTGGCAGGTACTAATAAGATAACACAAGGTAGAATAAAACGACCACGGCCAAATTGCAATGGTAATATTATGAATAGCACTGAAAAAGTTGTACATGATGAAAATTATGTGGATTTTATTGATAATGACGTTTTGACCAATTGAAGATAGTGATGATGACAAGGAAAGTGAATACGTCATGAAAGAATGTAAAAATGTATATGGTATCAGAGATGTTTTCGGAATAGTTACTTCTTAGATGATAAATTTACAAAGTCAATAACCGCGTGCAAGTGAATCCTTTAATTCTATTGATAAAACAAGTCGTATAATTACATTCAGCATTTCAGTACTGAAGAACACGTGCTTTATTATCTTTTACAATGACGCAGGCCAGCTATTGCTTAATATAGGAAAACAAATTGTAAAAGAAACCAATAATTTAAACAATAATTTAAGTACAGTCACAATTTTCGCTTCATTCCTATCTAGTGAAGGGTTTTATTAGCTCCATTGTGTGCTTCTCTACAAAATGATGTTTTCCGTTTGTGTAAAATCATTGTCAAAACCTAACAGACTACCTGATTATTTAGCTTCACACAGTATCTTGTAAACGCATTCCGGATTAGGCTGTTTACACTTGTAGTGCTAGTTATATAATATTCCTAGTATATAGTTAATATTCGTTGTTGATACATCGATCTTTGTGTAGCTGTGTCTCCATCTACTCAATATTTTGTTCTAACAAAAAACTGCCAAATCATTATCATTAGTAGTTCCGTTTAGTATCATTTCCGCAATCGAATTATTAGATCGATTTTTGGTGACCTTACCTCTAGTACAAAATATTACCCAATTTGTTCGTACGAGAGGCGTTAAAATAATATACATAGTTACATTTTTAGTTCAACTGGTGCCTATTGGAGAATACTATAGAGTTTCGCAATGCTTGTTATAAAACCACGTATACATCAAACACCACCGAAATTGAAACTTACGTGTAATCATTTTTATTATACGCTTTTTTTTCAAAGATATTTTAAGGTAACTTGCCAAATTTAAGAAGCATTTGTCATAAAAAATGTAATAACAGGATCATCAAATCGGCCTATAGACTGGTACAATTAATTAAAGTATAGGAATTTTACAATAAATCAATGAAAATATAGTCTTAGAATCATAAAATAAACAAAGCTGTCAAACATTAAACTCTTAGTTATAATAATTAGAATTAAATAAGACTCCTGTTAAGATAAACATTTTTATTCATGACGATTCACATAGTTTAGCATTTTGTACAGTTCTGATGTTAACCGTTTCAAAGAAATACAACACTATCCACAATTACGCGATGGTAGAAAAAAAATGGCAAAACATTTATAATATTAATTTAAGTCACTCCTGACCCTGCTGAATAACAAAAATAATACAATCTTTGAATAGAAAAAGCATTAAAAAATAAAAGATGCGTGAATCTTCTCAGATTATGTGCCTACAGCATCTTCACGACTGTTTTCTTCAACAGCAGTAACTGGGTCAATCTGGGGTTTCAAACCACGTATAGAAAGATCATAAATTACCTCCTCAATCTTCTTGAGATTATACTTAAGAGAGTCAAACTTTTTTCGAAGGGAGTCATTCTTCAAATTGAGTAGACGAAAGCCCAAGTCCAGCTGTGACATGAAGTGTGCTAATCTGGTAGGACGATTGTAATCTCCTGCTGTAACACTGTTGACAGCAAATCTAGCCTGCCAATTAAACTAAGACATTATAGTAGGCAAATCTACTGTTATGAAATAGTGTCACAAATAGAGTACACTAACCACAATTATAAAGTTTATTTTTAAAATTTAGTTTTCAAACAACATAATACAGAAATAGTTGGCCATATTATAAAATCACATTAAACCCGTCAGTACAGTATACTTTCTAAAAATTCAAGAAAATAACGTATCGATAGAAAAAAGAAACCAGTATAGCTTTGTTACTGATAATTGGGATATCAGATTTTAGTACCTATTACCAAATAAAAAAAATCATCATTAAACATAATTGACCTTATGAAAACCTAGTGAACGCAAATTCATTCTGATCCTTGAGAAACAAAGACAACATAACGTTTACTATTTGGCAAGAAAACGTTTGATAATACTAAATTACTTCTTTTCACAGGTTATAGTGATTCGTAAGGTCAAAATCGAAGTATTATAAAAAATATTGAAAACAAACTTAGAAAAACAACTTTATAAGTCTTAAAAACATCATAAGATCTATAGGCTGAAGCTACCGATACTAACTATTTATACTTTTACTTAGAGGAAACACACATGCATGCTGAACACTCAATAAAACACGTTTATGATAACAACTAGAGACAGTCATAATTAAACAGGAGCCCTCTTCGTGTAAATAAGTTAACAACTTAATGGTGTTGCATATTGTTAGATTTTTATTAGTCTATGGCTAGTATTTTCAGAAAAACACAGTAAAATAATAATGTTAATAAGAAATCAGTTTTTCACCCAATAAAGAATAACCAATATTAACTTGCTGTAACTTTACTATTATTATAGCAATCTTACCCATAAGTAACACTAATTATGTTTTTAGCTCGTACTAAGTACAGCCCTCTGGAAATTGCGCGTGATTGCATGTTTGGCGCACGATTCCATTACTGGAGCGCAATTTCGTAATCTTATTTTTCGCAAACATTATACACATAGTTCAAAGTTTCACTAATTAGTTTATTCTATCACATTTATATATATATATAAAATATTACCTTACATGTATTTACTGTTTTAAAACTAAGATCAATTTGACTTTTATGTATTCCTAACTGAAGGCAACGGTGTCATTTTCACCCAAGTCCGTTTTGAATACGTATTTACTGACGTATGGGTCATCTGTTACAGAGACTTCTTACTTTTAGAGCAAGTACGAGTTTGTACGAAAAGTTCATGGCCCGATCTAAAAACAACAACAAAAACTGGAGTGTATGTTTTTTTGTTTTTTTTGATAAATATTAAGACTGAACCTTTTAATGAGTAAACAACAAGTAACACATTACTTAACCAGCTTATTTTGTGTATGGCGGATTTTCGAAGGA